CGTGTCGCCGGTCCGCTGCAGTAGGCGGCGCGCGTCCTCGGAGATCGTCTGCGCGGGCGTCGTGATCGCGAGCGGCTGCGCGGACTCTTCGCCCACGTGCGAGGCCGCTGAAGAGGGCCGCTCCGGCGTGGCGGGCGTGACGGACGCTGCGTGTGGGATCGCAGGCGAGTCGGGCACCTCCGGGAGGGACTGGATTGCGTCTTCGACATTCCTGAGCATCCAGTTCGTTAGAACGACGAAAAAATCTACGAAAGGACGCACCTTTCAAATTCCTCCTGAGTGATGTTGGACAGCGACGTGTGGTCCATCGTCTCTATGAAGGAGACCGCACCCATCAGACTCGATAGATAGTACCCCGCCTCGCTCTGTAGCTTGGCGGGATTTCTAAATCGATTGATAAACCTAAGGAAGGTCAGCATCTGTCGTACAACGCAGCGGTGCACACACTCGACATTCGATAACAGGTGCTCCGGGTTCGCCTTGAGCACCACAAAAATCAGTATGGGGACAAACGAGTCCGCGCCCTCCTCCTTCTTCAGATGCCGGATCAGGCCGAAGATGACCTTGCAGCAGTTGAGGATGCAGATGAGCTTGTCGCGCGGCGCCTTGTAGTGGTTGACCTTGAGCAGCTCTGCGCAATGAGCGTGGGGCGGGGGCGTACGGCAGCACTACAGACCTTGCTGCGCGAACATGAGGAAGCCCTGGGAGCCCTCGGCGGTGGGGATGTCGAGGTGCTCCTCGCGGATCCAGCCGAACAGCGCGACGCGCTGGGTGAGCACGCGATCGCGCTCCAGGTCGTCCGCGGTGATCTGCCGCCGCGGGACGGCGTGCACCACCTGCGGTGTGAAGGTGCTGGGAGTAAAGATGAAGAAGCAGGAGAGGCAGGCGACGCGGATCACGCACAACTGGTAGAGCTGGTTCATGACGAGCTTCTCCATGCCCTCGAGCGCGTTGTCAAACTCGGCGTCCGAGGCGTTCCTCCAGATCTCGCACTCGCGCATGGGCTTGACGATGAACTGCGCGGAGGTTAGCGGACACACCGCAGCCAGGGGCAACTCACGTTGAGGAAGTCGTTGATGATCTTGACCTGGTCGCTCACGGTGAACGTCCGCTTTGCGAAGTTGCCCAAGAATCTAGAAAGAACATGATGATTTGCGAGCGGCGGGATCGGCTGGCGCGACGCACGATTTGAGATATTTCGCGACGGCTTCGGCATGGCGCGACTTCATCTGATCGAGGAACTTCTGAAAGTCGAACGGGGGGTCCGCTCGCCCGGCATCGTTCCCAGGCGTGCTGCTCCCAGACGTCGTGGACTCGCTCGAGGCTTCCTGCGAGTGTTGCTGCTGCGGCTGCGCTTGCTGGCGCTGCTGCTGCTCGACGAAGGCGGACAACGTGGAGGGTGAGGGCACGCCGCGCGCGATATCCATCGAGCCCGGTCGCGAGCGCGAGCGCAGCGGGTTGGTGAATGAGCGCGCGAGCGCAGAAAAGGACGGGAAGACAGAGGAAGACGGAGATTGCGGGGAATCCGATGCTGGCGCATCCTTGAGCGGCGGGGGAGGCGGGGTCGGGGACGGTGTCCGCGGAGGCGGCGGGTGGCTCTCTGCGCTTTCCCATGCCTCGCGCGCTGCGGCCTCCTCCTGTTTGGCGAGCGGATCGAACTCGCTCAGCACCTCGTCGGAGACGGGTGGCTTCAGGTCCAACGCAGTTTCTGGACCCGCTTCAAATCCTTCCGTGAACGATTGGTCGAGCAGCGAGGGGTCCGGCGTGCGTATCGGTGCTGGACGCTCCTCTTCGTCTTTATGCGGGGTGAGGGTGGAGTCCTCCCATGGATTAGGGTCAGCTGGGACAGCGATGGGGGTCACGATGCCGGTCTCAGGAGCCCCGGGTGTGTGGGGAGGAGTAGGGACCATATATCGCGCCAACGAGACGAAACGAGGTGGTGGCGTCGTGCAAACTGGAACGCGACTCGGACGCGCCGGATAATGCCGTCACAGTCACAGTTAGTCACGCTCAGGACTGCTGCAGCGCACAAGCCCTACACAAGCCCTTCGTCTCTACCTCTTCGACCCACAAGGTCGGTAAACTAGCCCGCAAGCTCTAATATCCTTCTTCACCAGTGCAGGTGCAACTGCTTTGATTTCGGATCTGCTGCTCGAGCTTTGATGCATCTCTGGAGTCTGTGGTACTTTGGTAGCTAATGACTCGGGCTGCCTGAGAATACTTCGTCTGCGAGGATCCTGTGCGCCTTTCGGAAGGATTTCATTCAGTACAACGCCCGCGATAGCACCGCAGCTCAACCCGACAATTTCAGAATCAAGCAGCGCACCCGAAACTGGGTGCCGCGGCGCAACTAGAACTCCTTGTGCCTCGCGCCTTCTAGCTTGCGACATGACTTGACTATCCCTCAGAAAACTGCACACCCTGCGCCTCCGGCTCATTCCGCGCCGCAGTGTCAGCACGGACATGGTCGACATCGACTCGGACTGCAACATACCCATGAAATCTGTCGCCTGCCGCCCGAGATTCTCCTGGATATCTTCGTTCGCTGCGTCCCCGTGTCGATTCGCAAGGTCCGCGGCAACCTCAGCTGGCTAAAGCGTATTCGGGCCTGGTTTGGGCGATACGCAGCCTGGGCCCTGCAAAGCATCTGTTTACTCCGGTTTGCGCGCCCGAGAGCGGCTTAGGCGTTCTCCGCAGCCCGCAGCTGACGAGCGGGTGTCCGCTGGTGGACGCCGCGACGAAGGGCGGGAGTGATGGTTGTCCTGTGCACACTGCAGGATCGTATGATCAACGACCGGTCGGTTGTATTTATTTCACTCGTGTCTGCCCACCTTCTCATATATTATAAACAGCTCTCTCATTGTTCGAGCCCATCCCAGTTCTCCCCACCACCTTCTCCTCTACTATTTACCATGGCCATTCCCATCGCCGCTGCCGCCGAGTCTCCTCGTCCCAAGGACGTTGGCATCCTTGCCATGGAGGCCTACTTCCCTCTTCGCGTGCGTCCGCTATAGCCCTGGGCTGTTATCCATCCTGACTTCGCGTCAGTGCATCTCTGAGGCCGACCTCGAGGAGTACGACGGTGTTTCCAAGGGCAAGTACACCATCGGTCTCGGCCAGGAATACATGGCATGGCCCGATGACCGCGAGGACATCAATTCGTTCGCACTGAACGGTCCGTACCAATGGATGCACTCGCTTTACACGCCGTCCTTACCATCACCACCCAATAGCTGTCTCTGGCCTCCTCGAAAAATTCAACATCGACCCCAAGTCTATTGGGCGCATTGATGTCGGGACGGAGACTATCATCGACAAGTCCAAGTCGGTCAAAACGACCCTCATGAGCCTGTTTGCCGAGTCGGGCAACCATGACATCGAAGGTATTGACTCGAAGAACGCGTGCTACGGGTCCACGGCTGCGCTGTACAACGCTATCAACTGGGTCGAATCGAGCTCGTGGGACGGCCGGAATGCCATTGTCGTTGCGGGAGACATTGCCATTTACGCCAAGGGTGCCGCTCGCCCTGCTGGTGGTGCCGGAGCAGTTGCCATGCTCATTGGTCCCAATGCTCCGGTGGTTTTCGAACGTAAGACACACCATTTCCGAATGTTTACAAGTTCTTATATCTTGAACAGCCATCCACGGTACATATATGGCCGACACGTACGACTTCTACAAGCCCAACCTGTCCTCGGAGTACCCTGAAGTCGACGGGCCGGTGTCTGTTGTGACCTACATCCAGGCCCTCGACTCTGCCTACTCCGCGTACAAGGCCAAAGCGGCCAAGGTTGCGAAGAAGGTGGCCGTTAACGGCAACGGGCACGCTAACGGTACTAACGGACACGCGAGTGGCGCTAACGCCGTCGAGAAGACCGAGCCCTTCTCGCTGGAAGACGTTGACTACGCCCTCTTCCACAGCCCGTACGGCAAGCAGGTCATCAAGGGCCACGCGCGCATGCTCTACAACGATTTCATCACCACCCCGACCGCCCCCCGCTTCGCCAACATCCCCGAGGCGCAGACGTTCCTGTCGTCGACCCACGCCGCCTCGCTGACCGACAAGAACCTCGAGAAGACCTTCATCGCCGCGGGCAAGCAGTCGTTCGCGCAGAAGGTGGACCCCGGAATGGCGTGCTCGCGCCGCCTGGGCAACATGTACACCGCGTCGCTCTACGGCTGCCTCGCGTCGCTGCTCGCGCGCGTGCCCGCCGCGGAGCTCCGGGGCAAGCGCGTGGGCCTGTATGCGTTCGGCGGCGGCTGCGCTGCGAGCTTCTGGACGCTGCGGGTCACGGGCGACACGTCTGAGATCGCGCGGACGATGGACCTGCTCGGCCGCCTGGCGAAAATGAGGGTCGTGCCGTGCCGGGAGTTCGTCGATGCGCTCGAGGTGTGTCTCCTCATTCCCATATCCTACTGCGTGCTCATCCAGATCGTGCATCAGCTCCGCGAGAAAAAACCACAACGCTGTCGGCTTCACGCCCGAGGGCTCGGTGGACAACATCTGGCCCGGCGCGTACTACCTTGACAGCGTCGACGCCAAGTACAGGCGGAAGTATGTGAAGGCTCCCCTGGCTTGAGAAAAGGTCCAGGCCTATCCGTTCGACTATATAAAACTTGTAACTCGACCTCATTGACGGCCGGCCACTTAGAATCTAGATACCATATGTAATTGCACTCCTAGAACGCCCCATCCCAGTGGCGTAGTGTACGATGAACTTGGCCCATGTCCGGGACGCCATTATGCCCTGGCATGTTTCGAGGGGAATCCCCCGCGTTGGGTTAGTCAATCCTGCTTCCATGGATTTGAGCCGATCGCGCAGCTCGAGCTCGAGAGCGAGAATGTGTTCAGCGAGGACTTGGGGTAGTCTACAGCTGTTTGCGGACATGGGATTCCGTTATTATGACGGGAAGGGGCCAATAAAGACTGAAGCCTGGCTGCCAGTGGGGTGTATTTCTACTCGTAGAATCTCTAGTAGTTGTGGTGGCTTAATCACGTGGTGAGATGGCCGAGCGGTCTAAGGCGCCAGACTAAGGATCAGCTTCGAGTTGAAGCACCTGCTGTTCAGTTAATACTGTGTAATCTGGTCCTCCGGGGCGTGGGTTCGAATCCCACTCTCATCAGTTCTTTTTTGCCTGCTGAGGCGGGCACCGCGTCTTAGCACTTGGTTTACTTGTTGCGCTGTACTAAGTATTGCGCCCAATGGGTCTGGATTTTCGATTTTTTCCTTCTCATTTCCGTCTCTTTCGTCCCGGGATTTTTTGCGACAGCTAGATATACTGGTAGACTACAAATGTATGCAATATTCAAGCGATACAGCGAGAGAAAGGTATTGAGAATGGATCACCGAGCCGTCAAATAATCAAATTTAGTGATCATGATGTTTGGAGAGTCATCCCTCTCCTGGACCGGTGGACCCATAGCTCATCTTGGACCTCCGGCAATTTTCGAGGGGCATTCTGAATCATATTTTCAGCTCTCTGCCTCTTCAGAATATTTCTCCAGGGATACCAGGGCGCTGTTGAGGTGCTTTGGAAAGGAGTGGCGCGAACGCGTGACAAATCAACCACCCAAACCAAATGTGACATTCTGTGACAATTGAACATCTCCCTCCAAAGTTGTTCGAAAGCGCTTCACCAGCACTCCAGAAAAATATTGTAAAAAGACAGACTCGGAGTCTAGAGTATAGTACAGAACTCCCCTCAAAAATTTTCAGAAGCCTGAGATGAGCTATGGCTCCTGCAGGAGAGGGATGCCTCTCACCAGATTCTGCAATCTTGGTTTCCCGACGATCTCTCAAAGACCTCCAAATCTGCGCCTGCAGACCCCAAGCGTTGCCTGATGATACGGAATGTACCTGGCATGCCGCTCGACCCCTCAGCGCTCAGCGCTCAGCACCTCTGATTCGAATTCAAGAATCGCGCGCGGAAAAGCACACGCACTTCATTTTTGTGCGCAAAGATTCAGATATCCACTAGCACTGTCACTGTCAGCGTACCCCAAGGCCAACTAACCGCTACCCCCACCGCGCATCGAGCGGCCCGATGCTTTCCGCCACGCACCACCGCGTCGTGCCCGCGCCCGCGCCCGTAACGACGACGCACCACGCGTCCTCGCCCTCCGCCCGCGGCACGCGCGCAGGCGCCTTCCCGTCCTTCCCGTTCCCGGGCGGGACGTACCCCACCGGCGCCGCGCCGCACGCGTGCGCGGTCAGCGCGACGAACGCCGGCGCGTCCGCCCCGGCACTGTCGATTCACAACCATGAGTAAGAGTATTGGGTAGTGACCGGACGCGGACGCGCACCAAGCGCGCACGACCGTGTCGAGGACGCGCTGCACGAACGCCGGGCCGAGGAAGCCGCGCCAGCGCACATGCGCCACGGCCCCCGCACCCGCGCCCGCCGGCGCGTCGTACACCGCCACGTACGCGTCCGCGCGGTCGTTCGCGCGCAGTCTACCCGCACCTCGTCAGAATTGGGGATGGGAATTGGAGTTGGGGTTGGGGGAAAGGAGGGAAGCGCACCGCTGCGCGCCGAGCCCCGCCATGCCCACCCACTCGAACAGCGCGCGCATCTCCGCCTCCCAGTCCGCCACCGCGTGCGTGTCCGCGTGGGGGGGCCGCGCGCGCAGCGCCACGGCGGGGAGGCGCAGGTCTGGCGCCACGCGCGTCTGGGCCTTGACGGGGCGCAGCTGCGCCGTGTGCCCGAGCGCCGCGGCCGCGCGCGCCGTCGCGTCTGCGTCTGCATGCCGTTAGCTCACGATCAGCCACGCGCACCGCACGCACCCCCACCGCAATACAGCACGGGCCACGGCGCGCCGCCCTCTTCTACACGGCGCGCGTCCCACGCCCTCACCTTCCGCGCCGCCGGGTCCGCAGCGTCGCGCGCCCGCGGGGGCAGCACCACCGCTACGCACAGCCTCAGCGATTGCGACTTGCGCTTTTTACGGCGGGGGGAGGAGAGAAGACGCACTGTGCGCGTCGTGGCCCCGGAACGGCTGGCGCGCGCCGGGGAGCCCGAGCGTCTCGTAGCTGGGCGGGGCGAGGTGCAGCGTGAGGACGCCGCGCGCGTCGAGGCACCACGCGTCGTCGTGCGCCGCGCCCGCGCTGAGCAGCGTCACGTCGTGCAGCGCCAGGGCGCGCGCGAGCGGCATGTGTGCGGTTACATACGCGGTGTCGAGGGCGGCGAGCGCGGCGTGCAGCGCGGGGTGCGCGGGGAAGACGACGTCGAGCTGGGGTGGGGGCGTTAGGCACGGCGGGGGCAGCGCGTGGGGCGGCGACGTGCCTGCTGGGTGAAGGGGTGCGCCGCGGCGAGGGTGTGCAGCTTGCTGCTCGGGAGGGCGCCGGTCGAGATCTGGATGTGTTGGCGCGCCGGCATGGTGGTTCGAATGTAGGGGCCTCCTCCACGTGACCGCATTTACGCGAGCTGGTCCGTGCGCGGGGCTGGGGGTATATAAGGAGGGGTTGAACAACTGCATCCCTTACCACTCTGGCCTTTTGGCTTAGATCAAGTGTAGTATCTGTTCTTAATAGTTTAACCACTATTATGGAGGCACCGCCTCCATTCTTGGTTATCTAATTTTTGCCGCCCTAGTCCGTGTGCTCTGCTTGCAACACACGGACGCGATGACCTTGCTGCTGCACTACTGGCTTGCGTCGTCAAGGGATCTTCTTTCTTTTTGTTACACTCTTGGGCACCTCATTTGAGGCGGCTTCCGAGTGTAGCAAATGGATTGAAGTGGTTCATCGTTAACCTTCATTTGTTTGCAGTATGGAATCAGAGGAAGGCCCGGAAGACATCCTCTCTAGCGCGCTCTTGTCTCTGTACGAGTATCATCCCATTACTCTGTCCTCCGCTGGCGCCCTCTTCACCTACGATTCAGTAACCCTGCGCACCCCCGACCCCCAAGCCGCGAACTGGGCCCTGCACGCCTCCTCCGTCTGGGCCGCCTCGCGTTTCCTCGCAGACCACCTCCACTACTTATCCCTCCCCTTGCACACACCCCTCAAGCTCCTGGAACTCGGCGCCGCCGCCGGCCTCCCCAGCATCGTCATCGCGAAGCGCCACCCCCAAATCTCCGTGACCGTCAGCGACTACCCCGACGCAGACCTCATCCGCACGCTGACAGAAAACGTCGCCGCCAACGGCGTCTCCGCAAACTGCCGCGCCGTGGCCTATGGATGGGGCTCAGACCCGTCCGTGCTTTTCGCGTCGGACGACGAGAGATTCGACATCGTGATCGCAGCGGATACCCTCTGGAACCCCGAGTCGCACGGCCTCTTCGTCCAGACGCTGCAGCTCACCCTCAAAAAGACCTCCAATTCGCGAATCCATCTCTTCGCGGGGCTGCACACCGGCCGGTACACGATCCAGTCGTTTCTGGTAGATCGTCACCTCGACATTCTCTCGCGGGGGCTGACTGGATTACAGAATGCCGTCTCCGCTGGCGGCTTTACTCTAGAAACCGCAATCGAGAGGGAGACGAACGGAGATGGGGAGCGCCCGTGGAGCGTCGACCGCGCGGACGGCGAGGAGGAGAGCGAGCGACGACGGTGGATCGTGTACTTGTGCCTCAAATGGAAGTAAGTAGTTTAGACGGTGACTTGAAGTTGAAGTTGAACCACAGCTTTTCGTCCGATGCGGCCTCTGTCAGTGTTTGGGCGAGCGCTAGGGAAAACGGTACATAAAAGCCAGATCCCGCACAAAACAAAAACTCCAGCTCAATTTCAAACAAAAAAGGCGGGCGGCGGGAGAACCCCACCCCGCTGAAGGCGCCTGACGCACGCACGACGGACACCCACACCCACACACAAGACTCCCGCGCTTCAGCGTTTCGAGAATTGAATTTTACATCGTGGGCTTTGATATAATACGAACCAAAATGATTCAGAGGCACCGACGTACTGTATGCTCTGCATGCGGGTCTAGGCGATGCCAGTACTACACCTTGAACGCTCCAGATTCCCATCTTCCCATCGATCTGCTGGGACCCTGTCCGGGTTCGGGTTGGCGACGAGCAGCGAGGTCACTGGTCGCCCTGATTATGAAGGGATGCCCGCGCGTCGGGACTCGGAAAACCAATACCATAGCGCACCCAGACCAGATCGCGTTGCACCTGCCAGTGTCGAGGACCTTGAGCAGAACCTCGCCGCCGGGAGGCGTGGTGGACTGAGGTGGAGCGCAGTGCTCGCCCTGTCGCTGTCGCAGTGGACGAGAGTCCGGGTGAGGGGAGCCTCCGAGTCGTGCTTCTGCAGCAGCAGCATCGAGGTGGGCCTCTTTCTGGTACTTTTACTAGGGGTTCTGGTGCCGGCACAGTCGGTGCATGAAAGCGCCGTGAGGTCTGGACGTATGCGGCGTCGGCGTCGGCGTCTACGACGTGCCCGCCGAATCGTGGCATGGCGGGCACAGGGCTGCGAGGCGCGAGGCCACACCTGCCATGCTTCAAGCTTGTCGCAGCCTCGGACGTCAGATGACCGTCCCAGAAAACGGGTGTATTGCAGTAGACAAGTCACAAGCCCGACGCGTTGAGGCTCTGCGTTGCCCAGAGCGTTCCGCGGCATAATCATAGTCGGAGCTGTGTCCGCCCGCGTCCGGAGTGGGACCTTCGCGCGGCGGTGTGCTCCTCTGGAGGTACCCACACGACCGTGAACCAGTGGCCAGTGGCGGTTCTTGTACTGGTGGAATAGGTAGGTGGAGGATGCGGCGCGGGCACCGACAACGACAACGCCTTGGTTGTCGGAGCGTAACTTGATATGAGATGGGTGTCGCGGACGAACCTATGGGGACTGCTTAGCCTTAGCCTGTGCGCGGCGACAGGACACGCTGGTCCCGTCCCCGCTCTGCTGTGCGCGCGCGCGGTCGGCGCGCTGGCACGATCCTCGACGGGCGCGTAGCGCGCTGGCCATGACCGAGAACTAGAGCGCGCTGGCTCCTGGCTCTGCTCCCCGGCGCGCTGGCCGGGCCCGAGTCTCGAGTCCGGCACGCTGGCCTCGCTCTCGCCTGCGACGTCACGCTGGACGCCGTGGACTGACTGTGGCCTGTGGCGCCACGCTGGGCGCCGGGATTGCGCTGTCGTCTTACGCGGCCTTCTGCGCGGACGCACTAGGCTTGCCCCTATCCTTTCCT